GAAGGCAGGCGAGCAGCTTGTAAGTCTCAGTCGTCCAGCCGTTGGAAACCGTTCGAACAACTGGTCTCCTGGTGTGTGGAAATAAAGCATATTTGGGCATGGTATAAAAATTAGCCCTCAGTTCAAAATGTTAACCTAGGCTCTCAGGACTTTCCAGTGGTTTTGGGGTGTTCTTTCAAACAAAGCACTAACTCTTAATGTGAGTTTGAATTAGATGTTTTCATCTCTGAAAAGGCCCTGGCTTAAAATATTAAAATCATAGGTTTCCTGTACCCATTGATGGCCACTTCTGGCAAATATTAGGATCTTTTCATTTTCATTTCTTGTCCCTGCATAGACATTAATTCTGTTAAAATTTAAATCTTAACTCAGATTCTATTTAATACCTTACTACAGATTGTAGTTCTATATGCTAAATGTTTGCTGGACATATTTGATTTGAATTCAAATTTCAAAATCAACTCCCTTCTCCCTGTTCTAGAAAATCATCCTTTGTTTAGTTTTTAACTAGTATTCTTTCGTTGGAACTAAGAAAAAACTGTGGGAAAAGGCAGAATATTTAAGCAAAAATTTGACGTAGAAATAATGGTAAGGTAATTTTAAAAATATATTTTTTTTGGATTAAGGAATCAATATATTAAATCATTTTGACATAATTAAAAATACTACATGTAAGCTAACTTAAGCAGTTCATTTTATTTTGATTATAGTTTATTTATGCAGCCTTTTTGAGAAACTACTTTGTAAGTGTAAACTACCGCATTTCTGTCCATGTTACTTTAAAATTTATTTTTTTTTGCTAATTGGAAAAGTGGGAATTTTTTAAATTAAAGGAACCTCCTGATGTATATACTTAAAAAATGCTGTTTGATCAGCAAGCAAGCTTTTCAAAGAGTTGTGAAAACTGTGTCTATTAAGCTTGTAAATTTCCAGAACTATTTTCTGCTTGTATTGAATAGCAAGTTTTGTTTTGCTTCCAATATAACTAACTCACTCCTTTCTAAATATCTGAAAAAGTCTTACTTTTGTATGTACATAGTTGATGAGATGATAGATGATCAGAATTTAACGTTTAAGGTGTTAAAGTCACAATGAGTCTGGGCAGGACATTTGTTAAACGCTCCAACCAGCTGCCACCAACCATAGTTAGTGTCGATTCCCTAGTTGGACAAGTCTGTGCCACTCAGTTCGGTGATGGAGCACAATTTCGACAAGTCACAACAGATTGGTGCCTTTCCTAGTGTAGACCCCAGTTATGACAAATCTCTAGCACTACCAGCAGCCGCATTCAAAATCAGGTGGTGTACCATGAATTAAACACAACAAGTGTACATTCAGGACAATGGACAGTAAATTTTAAACATGTTATATCTGATGTTAGTCTCTTTGGATGTTACACTGATTATATTCCCACTTTAGAATTTGATGTCAGTCTCTTAGTTTTGCAGATATTTTTAAACTGGCAGTGGGGACAGTTTAAATTTGTGTAGTTATCTTTGAGCCTGCAAAAGGTGTGGCCTTCCAGCCTACTTTTCTGGGGTTGGGGTCTCCTGTTTTTTATACTGTTAACAAAAAAATCGTATCAAGTGACAAACTGATTTTCAGATTGTTTTGCTTTTGAGAGGGAATTTTAAACTAAAAACTCTCCTCAAGCCTGCTGTGGTTACTCCGCACCTGTCTCTGCTCTAGCTGGTGGTGTCAGTCTAGATGCAGTTAAAATGGCAGTCACCTGTGCACCACAGATCTCCACACAACAACATCTGGGAGTGCCACAGGGTCCCAGTATGCCTTTGTTAGCCAGGAAAATGGATTAATCAGAATACCACACATCTCACTTAGAACTCGCTATGAAGCTTTAACTAATGGGTTGGATGCAGCTAATACTTGTGTGACTTACGGCCACTTTTTTTTCCCTTTTTTTTGGTGTTTTCAAAGCAAGATCGTCACTCTGCCCCTCCGACGTCACCCACGGCCGTGGAGATTCGCACTATGAGCGTCACAGGTCTTCTGTGAGAGGTGTTCTCGGGGGTCGCGGGAGCGTCCTGGAAACGGCAGATGGTGAGCATCCTCTTTCTCGTTTCGAAACAGCAGAGCCAGATAGCCAGCCACCAGTGTCAGTCAGTCGCTGGGAAGCTTCTTCATTTAGATCTGCGTGGAGAGTCACGTTTTGAAACACGGAACGCACCTTGCCGCAAGAGCATCCTCCTAACTCTGTCCTGCAGCTTTGACTTGTTCACAACAGATTGTCATGGCTGACCAGGTGCAGCTCAGCAGACGTCAGTGGGATTTTCACAATGTTCCTCATTATACATCTTCTTTCTAAACGTTTTCAGTGTCTTTATCAGAATCACGTTAAAATTTTTTCCCAAATACCGATTTAAGTCACAGAAAAATTCAGAGGAGCTCAGATCAAGGACCTTGCTGTGTATTATGATCCTCCTAACAAGTGTCCAATTTAGTCAGTCTTCCATCTCCTATTCAGATGCAGAAGAAAACTGCTGAGGCAGCATGAGAAGCTATATTTGTAGACATGTTTAACCTTAATTAAGTGATATTGACCATATAATGAATGGTGCATGTTTAAAGTGTACAATTTAAAAAATTTTAAGGTATTCGTACATCCATGAAAGCATCACTACAAGATAGTGAATGTGTGGTGGCTCACGGCCTATAATCCTAGCACTGGAGGCCCAGGCCGGTAGGATCGCTCAAAGTCAGGAGTCAGGACCAGCCTGAGCGAACAAGGACCTCGCCTCTACTAAAAATAGAAATAAATAGTCTACAACTAAAAATAAATATACACACCACACCCACATGTATATAAAATTAGCCGGGCATGGTGGCGCAGCCTATAGTCCTAGTCTTGGGAGGCTGGAGTAGAATGAGCTGACCTAGGAATTTGAAGTTTCTGTGAGCTAGGGCTGATGCCATGGCACTCTACTGGGCACACGAGCCAGACTGCTCAAAAAAAGATACGTGAATGATACCCAGCACTCCCACTGAAGGCCTAGTGTCATGGGTAAACCCTCTGGTTTGGCTCTTTCTGGATTTGCCCACCCCTTCAGCAACCATTACTTTCAGGACCCACTATAGATAGTTTCATTTTCTAAAATTTTATATAAATTGAATCATACAGTATTACTCTTATATCTGTATCTGCCACTCGATAATTATTTTAAGATTCATTTATTTCTGTGTCAATAGTTCATGCTTTATGATTGATACTAGATTTTATTATCCGCATACACCATAGTTTATTTATCTAGTCACCTTGTAGGTTATGATTCTTTCTCGATTTGGGCCATGACAATAAAACTGCTATGAATAATCAGTCTCAGATCACATTTTCTGTGTAGAGTGCACTCCCATTTCTTTTGGGTCAGTGCCTAGAAGTAAGAAGGCTGTGGTTGGCATTTTACATTCTCACCATGGATGCAAGTCCCAGTCCTCTGCATCCTTCCTATAGATTGGTATATCTGTTTTAAATCTGTAACTTATCCTAATAGATATGTGGGAAGAATCTTATTATAGGTTCAATTTATATTCAAGAATGACATTGTTGTCATCTTTCTATGGTTATTTGCCATCAGTATATCTTTTAGGAAAAGTGTCTGTTTAAAATCTTTTGCCTATGTTTAAAAAAAAACCATATTATATATATATATATGTGTGGTGTTTTTTACTGTGTGCTCTTACTGATTTTGAGAGTGTTATATACGCTAGATATCAAGTTGTTCTTTATCTCTCTCTTGCATATTATGGGGGTACAGATTTTAAGGTTTCAATAAATGCCCATTTCCCCCCTCCCCCCAAAAGTCTGAGTCTCCATCATGACCATCCCCCAGATAGGACATTAAGATTTTAAATGCTTTCTCAACGTGGGACTATGAAAAAATGGTCTAAGAAATATTTGACTAGATAATTTCTTACCAATTTGATATACATTTATAAAAAACTTTTTCAGATGGAAAAGTTCTTTTCTGCATATAAAAATAGTACATGCTTAATATTAAATGTATATAAAATATTATACCAAGTTTAAGGACAAAGGTAAAAATCACATGAAATCTCTGAATCCTAAGACAGCTGCCCCAGAATTCCACTGAGCACTGTTTTCTCCAGACTGGGTGCAGATAACATGCACATGTACACGCACTTTCCATGAACAGGGCCATAGGAAAGGCCACCTGCCTTCCTTCCTCCCCACATTGTCCCCACAGCCCTGTCCATACTCATGTAACTGGTGCTGGTAAACTTGTTTCTGCCCTTGTGAGTCTTGTACTAGGTATGTTCTTTATTGTCTAATACAAGTCCATATCATAAATACGATGTGCCAGTATTTTCTCCCAGGGTGTGGTTTGTCTTTGTATTTCCTTAAAATGTCTTTTGAAGAGCAGAAGTTTTTAATTTTGATTAAGTCTAAGTTATCAATTTTTAAAAATGGATTGTACTTTTTTCTTATGTCTAAGAAATTTTTCCTTAACCCAGTATCTCAAAGATTCTCTCTCTCTTGTGTTTTGTTGTAGGGTTTTTTTTTGTTGTTGTTTGTTTGTTTGTTTTTAGAGACAGGGTCTCGTTCTATTGCCCAGGCTGGAGTGCAGTTGTGCATCATCACAGCTCACTGCAGCCTCTAAGTCAGGCGTCCTCAAACTACAGCCCATGGGCTACATGCGGGCTGCCCAGCACATTTATCCAGCCCTCTGGGTGTTTTTGCCACTGCTGCCTGTCCTGCTTAGCAGTCGACACATCCTAGGCCCACAGTGCGAACTCTCCAACGGTCTGAGGGACAGTGAACTGGCCCCCTGTTTAAAAAGTTTGAGGACCCCTGCTCTAAGTCCTGGGCTCAAGTGATCCTCCTGCCTCAGCCTCTTAAGTAGCTGGAAGTACAGCTGCATGCCACTAATGCTTGACTAATTTTTAAATCTTATTTTGAGGCGGGGTCTCACTGTTGTCCAGGCTGGTCTTGAACTCCTGGCCTCCAGTGATCCTCCTGCCTTGGCCTCCCAAAGTGCTGGGGTTACAGGCATGAGCCAATTCACTTGGCCCATTGTAGAAGTTTTATAGTTTTAGGTTTTACCCTTAGGTCTATTATCTGGTATTTAGTTAATTTTAGTATAAGTGCAGGGTGTGAATCAAAGTAGTTTTTTTTTTTACATGTAAATATCCAATGGTTCCTGCATCATTCGTTAAGAAGACTGCCTTCTGCAGTGAATTCTCTATGCATTTTTTTCCTAAAAGCAGCTGCACGTATATGTGCATATATTTCTGAACTCTCTGTTCTATTAATCTATTCACCTACCTTTAAGGCAAAACTGTGCTTCTTTTAATGATTGTAGCTTAATCATAAGTGTTGAAATCAGTAGGGTTAGTATTCTGTTTTGTTCCTTATTCATGTTTCTTTGTATGTAATGTGTCTTTTTTGTCTGGTACTTTTAAGATTTTTCTCTTTATCACTGTGCAATGGACTGAATGTGCACTTCGCAAAATTCACATATTGAAACCCCTAAACCCCAATGGGATGGTATTTGCAGCTGGGGCCTTTGGGAGGTGATTAGCTTGAGATGAGTTCGTGTTTGTGAGGGTGGGGCCCTCACTCTGGGATTAGTGCCCTTGTAAGAAGAGACATCAGAGAGCTTGGCTTCTCCTGCACCCCGTCACCATCTGAGGACACAGGGAGAAAGCAACGTATACAAGCCAAGAGGAGAGACCTCACCAGAAACCAGCCATGCTGGCTCCTTGATCTTGGACTTCCAGCCTCCAGAACTGTGAGAAAATAAATTGCTGTTGTTGAAGGTACCCAGTCTGTGGTCTGTGGCATTTTGTTATGGCAGCCAAGCAGACTAAGACATGGTGGTTTTGAGTGATTTGATTATGATGTGCTGGTGTAGTTTTCTTTTGCTTATGCTTAGGATTTGTTGAGTTTTTTGGATCTGTTGGTTTAAATCCCATCATGTTGATATCGTCTAAATGTTTAGTTCTGGATTGTTTTGTATACACTTACGTTTTTCTTTTTTTCTAAGACGGCACTGTGGGAGTCATAGCTATGTCTTTATCCGTTGAGGCCTCCTGGGTTTGTCTCTGGCGCTCCCCTTTTGTTGCACGCCTTCTTCCATGAGCGTTTTCAGCTGAGTCCTTATGTGTCAATGCTTTTGAAACATTATATGTCTGAAAATATTTTTACTAAACCCTCATATTTAAATAATTTGGCTGGATGTAAAATTCTACATTCAATACGTTTTCCTTCCATATGATACTGCCTTCTTGTACCTGGTTGCTATTATTGTCAGCCTGTTTCTTAATCCTTCAAGGTGATTTGTTCTTTTTCTCCAGAAGCTTTTAAAATTGCTTTTTACATAAATTTTATTTCAATTAGATGTGAATTTTTCATCTTTCTTTATTACACCCTACAAGCCATTTAAATGTAAGGTTTTTAAATGTTTTAAAACATTTGTTGGGGAAAATTTTAAACACATGCAGAAATGGCCATCATAGCATGACAGTGCCCTGGACCCACTGTGCAGCTGCACCAGCTCTCAGCCATACTTAGTCCTGGCTTCATCTGGTCCCCACCTGCTTCCTCCCTTCCCACGGTGTTCCAAGCAAATCTCAGATGTGCTATTTCATTTAAATGTCATAAGATTCTTGTCTCTGTATCTGAAAAGAAGTATTTCTAAAAGATAATGCCATTATTACAAAATAATGAACAATCATTCCTTAATATCAAATACCCAGCCAATGTTCAAGTAGCTTTTTAAACTCAAGTCTGTTTGGACCCAGGGTCCAAATAAGATCTACACGTTGTGGCTGGATGGTGTGTGTTTTCTGGGCCTTGTTTATGTGGTGGTTCCTCCATGGTGTAGCCTGCTGTGCTCCTTAGCTGGCCAGGCTTGACACGTGTCTGGCTGGGATTTTCAACCACTCGAGAGACTCCGTGATGGGTGCCCCACGTCCCTGTCACATCTTACTCCACCCCTCATCGTGTGATGCTGTCACTTCCTAGATCTGTGTTTTCTTCAGGGCTACAAATGGGGAACCCCAGATTCTGCCATTTCGTCTTTATTCAAAGGCTGGAATACTTCCATAAAGAGAAACTTATCTTCATTTACTACTTGGTGCAGGAAAGTTGAGATAAATATTTAATTCTTTTCATTTATTTACTAGTTTTAAAAATAATGGGTTGGGGTCACTGGCATCCTCCTATGGCAACCAATTAATTTTGTTTCCTTTTTCCTTTCCTTTCCTTTTGTTTTATCTTTTTTTAGTATCATATCTGATGTTTCAATCCATTATAGCATTTACCCTTATTGATACTCAAATTTTCCCATTCTTGGCCATTGGGAAGCTCTTTGAATTGGCTCATGTTGTTTATTTGACCATGTCCTTGTTGGCTGTTAGGATGAGATGCTCTAGTCTCATCCTGGGCATCTCCTTCCCTGCCTTGGAATCTGCCATTTCTCAGGATTTTTAAGGTAAAGATGGTGTTTTACAACTACAGGTATTAGGGCTATGATTGCTTTGGGGCTGGTTATTATTTGTAGACAGTTCAGCATATGGAGATAACACATACTTTTTAAAGATAAAGCACCACTTTCATTTGTAGTGACATCATCCATTCAGATTCAGGAGTTCAGGGTCCTTACCTCCTTCACCTGCATTCATGTCTCCTCTCTCCCTCATGAGTGTCCAGGGCTCCAGGGCTGGTGGAATCAGAAGACCACGTGCTCTTCATTTGCTGTGTCCCACATGATCCGTGTGGCAGTGCCCTCACTGCCATCAACAATGCGATGACAGAGTTGAACAGTTTTTATGTATTTCTTTTTGTCCTTAGTAGATATTTCTGCAGAAACAGGTTGGACAGTCTTAAGTGCAGTGTTTTTTCTTTGGGGTTTTTTTTTTTTTTTTTTTTTTGAGACAAGAATCTTCACTTTGTTGCCCGGCTAGAGTGAGTGCTGTGGGTGTCAGCCTAAGCTCACAGCAAACCTCAAAACTCTTGGGCTCAAGCAATCCGCTGCCTCAGCCTCCCGAGTAGCTGGGACTACAGGCATGCGCCACCATTGCCTGGCTATTTTTTCTATATATTTAGTTAGGCCAATTAATTTCTTTCTATTTATAGTAGAGACAGGGTCTCGCTCTTGCTCAGGCTGGTTTCGGAACTCCTGACCTCGAGCTATCCGCCCGCCTCCCAGAGTGCTAGGATTACAGGCATGAGCCTCTGCGCACAGCCTAAGTGCAGTGTTTTAACATCAGCCGGAATGGTTTAAGCCAACAGCTAGATATACATTGAGGCTCATTTGTTTCACTTTATTTTCAAATTTGGGGATTAATTTTTTTTATTTAGTTTTGATTTGTGACTATGGACATATTTACATGGTTCCAAAATCAAATCTACAAACAAAAGAATATTTAAAGGAATCTAGAACCAACATGTGTTGATGGACAGATAAGCAGAGCTTCTATTCTTCTTATACCCAATGAAAACAAACAGAAACATGAAACTTAATTTGTTATTTCAGAATCAATCTTGTAAAAAGTATTTTTACTGCTTTTCTTTCTATGTAGATATCCACACTGAAGCCGTGCAAGCAGCTTTGGCCAAATACAAAGAGAGGAAGATGCCTATGCCTTCGAAAAGACGCTCTGTTCTTGTACATTCATCTGTGGAAACCTACACCCCTCCAGGTATTGAGAAACAGTGTCAGGAACGGCTTTCATGGGTGTTTCATAGGACTGATGTTAAAGTATTTATTGTTCATTGAGTTAGAATATCCTTCTGGCCTGTGGTATAGATTTGGAAAATTTGCAGATTAAAAGTATTTATCGCCGGGCGCGGTGGCTCACGCCTGTAATCCTAGCACTCTGGGAGGCTGAGGCGGGCGGATTGCTCGAGGTCAGGAGTTCGAAACCGCCTGAGCAAGACCCCGTCTCTACTATAAGAGAAAGAATTAATTGGCCAACTATATATATATAAAATTAGCCGGGCATGGGTGGCACATGCCTGTAGTTCCAGCTACTCGGGAGGCTGAGGCAGAAGGATTGCTTGAGCCCAGGAGTTTGAGGTTGCTGTGAGCTAGGCTGACGCCGCGCACTCACTCTAGCCTGGTCAACAAGCGAGACTCTGTCTAAAAAAAAAAAGTATTTATCGATGTGAAATTTCTACCTAAAAAACTGTGGTTACACAGTATTTTTCTTCCCCAAATAGATACTGCTTTCTACAGGCTTTTTTGTGTGGATTTTAGTATTTATTACTAGGATGCTGTTTATGTCTTTAGTAAAGAGAAGAACTTAAAATAAGCACTTAGTGCAATGATTAAGGCCTCTTAAAAGTTAAATTTTAAATTATTCTCATCTTACTACATATTATTTAATATGTTGTTACCAGGACTTAAATGGGACATAAGACTATTTGGAGAGTTTCTGGTTCATATTGTTGTTATCATTAGAAATGAAAACTTTTATGTGGAGTTTCTTTTCAGCAGTATTGTATTTTACGCTTCCTGTTAAATTGTTCCAAGATGTTGGTAATATCTAATGACTTCACATCCATGAACTTCTATTGCTGCTTACTGTGTTATTAAGTAACAAAATAGTGACATTCATGTTTGGTTTGATGCATTTGGAATTACTACATAGTAAAAAACAAATGCACTTGTATTTACAAGGTGATTCAGTGGTTTTGCTAACAGTTTCTTCCTTTAAAAAAAAAGACATTTAGGCCAGGTGTGGTGGCTCACGCCTGTAATTCCAGCACTCTGGGAGGCCGAGGTGTGCGGATTGCTCACGGTCAGGAGTTCAAGACCAGCCTGAGCAAGAGTGAGACATTGTCTCTACTAAAAATAGAAAGAAATTAATTGGCCAACTAAAAATATATAGAAAAAATTATCCGGGCATGGTGGCACATGCCTGTAGTCCCAGCTATTTGGCAGGCTGAGGCAGTAGGATTGCTTGAGCCCAGGAATTTGAGGTTGCTGTGAGCTAGGCTGACACCACGGCATTCACTCTAGCCTGGGCAACAAAATAAGACTCTGTCTCAAAAAAAAAAAAAAAAAAAAGACATTTATTATTAAAAAAAATCTTAGAAGTAGCTGTCAAATTATTATTTCTACTAAGTACAGCTATAGACACTATCCACTTGTAGAATATTTTTTTAATAATTATAAAACCCATAATAAAACACACAGTTGTGCTGACTTGATAGAACATTAATTCATAGTTAATTAAGCAGTTGTCTCAGGGAAGGAATTCTTTCTAGAGATAATTCACTTGATTCCCCTGAGAGGACACATGTGGACAGGGCCATGGTCCCTCCCACGGCCACCATGGTCACTGTGCCTACACTGCCTCCCGAGGTGTGGGGCTTGTATGCTGGCTCACCCTGAGGAATATGGGGGCTCAGGGTGGATGTGCAGTAGCAGCGCTGGATGTCCACAGAACACTTGCAGCCGGGGACCAGTGAGGTTTGCGCTGAAGCTGTTTAGGAGACCAGAGGCTGTCTTCACGCCTGGCATGTGGTGCCCCATGGCTGAGTTCTCTCTGGGGCACTGGGGCTTGTGGAGCTGTTTTCCCCACAATATGGCTCCCGACACTCCCTTTGAGGTCCCTGCTTGGCCACATCTGGGGAGAGCTGTGCCAGGTGCACAGAAGCTACACACAGGCCTGGGAGACTCTGGTGCACGTGGGAACTCCTGCCTCCTCTGAACTCATCCCTACATCATGCCTGTCATCGTTATTTTAACCACAGACACATCGTCTGCCTCAGAAGATGAGGGCTCTTTACGGCGACCCGGGCGACTCACCTCCACTCCGCTCCAGAGCCATCCCAGCGTCGAGCCCTGGCTCGACCGGGTTGTTCAGGGCTCGTCCACCTCATCTTCTGCATCCTCCACCTCATCTCACCCGGGAGGGAGACCGGCTGCTGCTCCCAGTGCCGCCACCACGCCGGGGGCCGCCTCTGCCACTGCGCTCGCAGGCCTCACAGCCCACGCCCACATAGGTCAGTAACGAGCTGCCGTGGCCTCCGCGCCAGCACAACAGAGCCGAGAGTGCCCAGGACAGACAGGTGCTGGGCCCTGGCAGCAGCACCGTTCCTCTGCACAGAGCAGGTGGAGAGCCCCTGAGTGGTGGTGCCTCCCTGAACAGTTAGCTGCAGGCCTGAGCTCTCTCTGAGCGGCTGAGGTCACGCAGCCCAGATATCTCACATGGTTCATCTGCCTGCGACATTGACCTATTTTCAGCTTTAAAATTGCACTTGCAAGGAACAGGGGTAATATTTGGTTGATGGGTCATCTAGATTAAATCTTTGGCCTTTTGGACAGTACGGCTCTGTTGCTAAACTTTTCCCCATCAAGACCCACCTCTTTTTCATCTGGAAAATGTCCTTTTGGTAACAAAGTAGTTTAGCAGTCCTAGGTCCTCGTGGCATGTGGGCCTCCCCTAGGCCTCCCCCAGAAGCGTGTGTGGTGGTTCTGCATGTTGCGTCATCCCTTTCTGCTCTCGTGGCTGCACGGGTGGCAGGTGCAGGGCAGGTGGTCAGTACACATACCTGCTGGTGGTCGTGACTGTCACCCTTTACCTGGCTACCCTCGATTGTCTCTGCCTTTCCTCTGGGCCTTTGTCTAAAGCTGCAGGGCTGTCAGTGGTTTCTGCCCCTGGGTGGGGTTCTGAGGCAGAGGGCTGGAGCTGCATCTATGGCCTGGCCCTTCTTCCTCCAGATATCGGGATAGATAACCATTCAGCCTGGAAAGATGTCAGTGAGAACTATTCATAGAGATTTATGGATCTTTTCCAAATCATTCAATCCTTTGAATTACATTCATCTCAGAAAAGAAAAAAATGCAGGCCTCTCATTATTGGAAATCCTATGTATTAACAAAAATAGTAGTGTGGTTAGCCATATGTAGCTGGCATGTGAAGCCCACATACATTCTTGCACTCGTACCTTAAAATACAGTCAGTGTTACTAAAGACTCACCTTAAATGCCTCCTTTTTTCCTAGATGAGTAAGGAGGACAAAAAATTGGGTGATTGTAATTTGCTTGAGATTACACAGATGGCTTAGTGGTGAAGTCAGGGCTGATACCAGTTTTCTTGATTCCTATTTATTTTCTTTGCTTTTAGTTGCTTTTCTGCCAGAAGTGAAACAGCACCTGCAGTGCACCCATGACAGGCTGGTGTTTGTGGTGGGGTCCCCATAGGCCACACTGGGGTCATGTGCTGTGCTACTTCTGTGTAAAACTTGGTCACCTTGGTCACCTGTGTAAAACTTGGTTTGTCTGGATTTGGGGGCCAGCCGGGCATGTTCAGTGGCCCATGGCTTCTGTCTCAGCATCCTCTGTGGAGCACATCACTGTTGCTCTTCACTTTTTATTCGTTTGAGTCAATGCATGAAGTCTGCGTGTTTCTGTTGAACATGCGTCTTTCTCCTGCAACATAAGTCCTAGGTGAAAACTCACGGTGCTCACTCTGCCTACACACCCTGCTTCCGGCTCATGGAGGAACTGCCAAGACTGACAGGGCAGCAGGAGAAGGCAGCATTTTCCATGGGAAAGCCCCTTTGGAAGACTGCCTACCTAATTGTTTCTGTAGCGTTCCCGGGTGTCCTGCCTATGGCCAGAGGCTGCCACCCTCCTTTCCTCAAGGAGGTTTACAGCCCACAGCTTGATTCTCCTTCTCTGCTCATCACGGTGATTTAACTTGATAGAAATACGCAGTTGACTCCAGTGTGAGGAAACCAGTGATGTTTTAATGTTCTGTTCCCTTACCTCTGCTTCCTGAAGCTCCTCCTCGGTGAGGTGGTGTGGGAAGGCAGGCGGAGCAGCTGTAGTCTCAGGTCGTCAGCCGTTGGAAACCGTCTGAACACTGTCTCCTGGTGTGTTGGAAATAAAAGCATATTTGGCATGAAAAATTAGCCTCAGTTCAAAATGTTTAACCATACGGCTCTCAGCTTTCCAGTGGTTGTGGGGTGTCTTTCAACAAAGCACTTAACTCTAATGTGAGTTTGAATTAGATGTTTTCATTCTCTGAAAAGGACCTGGCTGTAAATATTAAAATATAGGTTTCTTACCCATGTTGATGCCTAACTTCTGCAAATGTATCTGTAGTGATCTTTTCATTTCTCATTTGCTTGTCCTAGCATAGACATTTTAATTCTGGTAAAATTTTTAAAAATCTTAACTCAGATTCTATTTAATACCTTACTACAGATTGTAGTTTTCATATGCTAAATGTTTGCTGGACATATTTGATTTGAATTTCTAAATTTCAAAATATTCAACTTCCCTCTCCCTGTTCTAGAAATCATCCTTTGTTTTAGTTTTTAAACTAGATAATTCTTCATTTTGAACTAAGAAAAGAACTGTGGGAAAAGGCAGAATATGTTAAGCAAAAAATTTGACATAGAATATAATAGGTAAAGGTAATTTTTAAAAATATATTTTTTTTGCTTTTGGATTAAGGAAATCAAATATATTAAACATTTTGACATAATTAAAAATACCTACATGTAAAAGCAGTACTTATAGCAGTTCATTTTTATTTTGATATAGTTTATTTTTATGCAGCTATTTTGAAACTACTTTGTAATGTGTAACTTACCATGCATTCCTGTTTTTCCATGTGTACTTTTAAAATCATTTATTCTTTTTGCTAGATTTGGAAAAGTGAGGAAACTTCTTTTTAAATTAAAGAACCTCCTGATGGATATACTTTAAAATGCTGATCTGATCAGCATCAAGCTTTTTCAAGAGTTGTGAAAACTGTGTCATTAAAGCTTTAGATTTTTCCAGAACATATATTCTGCTGTATGAATAGCAAGTTTGTGTTTTGCTTCCATATAACTAACTTCACCTTTCTACATATCTGAAAAGTTCTTACTTTGTATTGTACATAGGTTGATGAGATGATAGATGATCAGAATTTGAACGTTTAAGGTGTTAAAGTGCCACAGTGAGTCTGGCAGGCACATTTGTTAAACAGTTCACCAGCTGCCACCAACATAGGTTAGTGTGGATTCCTACAGGTGGACAAGTGTCTGTGCACTCAGTGTCGGGATGGAGCACAATTTCTGACACACAGACGTGGTGCCTTTCCTAGTGGTTAGACCCAGTTATGACGATAAGTCTCATAGCAACTTACAGTCAGCCAGCATTCTGAACAGATCAGTGTGGTGTACCATGAAAATTAAACACAAAAGTGTACATTCAGACAATGGACAGTAAATTTTAAACATGTTCTATATCTGATGTAGTCTCTTTGGATGTTACACTGATATATTCCACTTTAAGAATTTGATTGTGGTCTCTTAGTTTTGCAGATATTTTTAACTGGCAGTGGGGACAGTTTAAATTTTGTAGTTTTATTCTTTGAAGCCTGCAAAGGTGTGGCCTCCAGCCTACTTTTCTGGGGGTTGGGAGTCTTCCTGTTTGTTTATAATGTAACAAAAATCGTTCCAATGACAACTGATTTCAGATTTGTTTCTGCTTCTTTGAGAGGGAATTTCTAAACTAAACTCTCCTCAGCCTGCTGTGGTTTACTCCGCACCTATCTCTGCTCTAGCTGGTGGTGTTCAGTCTAGATGCAGTTGAAAATAGAGTCACCTGTGCACACAGATCTCCACACAACACATCTGGGAGTGCACAGGGTCCCAGTATGCCTTTGTTCAGCCAGGAAAATGGAATTAATCAGAATACCACACATCTCACTTAGAACTCAGCTAGTGAAGCTTTAGACTAATGGGGTTTGAATGCAGCTTAATACTTGTGTGACTTACGGCCACTTTCCTTTTGGGTGTTTTCCAAAAGCAGATCTTCACTCTGCCCCTCCCGACGTCACCACGGGCCTCGTGGAGCATTCGCACTATGAGCGTCCACAGGTGGCTTCTGTGAGAGGTGTTCCTCGGGGGTGCGGCGGGAGCGTCCTGGAAACGGCAGATGGTGAGCATGCCTCTTTCTCGTTTTGAAACAGCAGAGCACAGATAAGCCAGCCACCAGTGTCAGTCAGTCGCTGGGAAGCTTCTTCATTTAGATGCTGCGTGGCAGTCAGTGTGAACACACGGACCGCACCTGCCGCAGAGCAGTCCCTCTAACTCTGTCCTGCAGCCTTTAGACTTGTCACAACAGATGTCATGGCTGACCAGGTGCAGGCTCAGAGACGTCAGTGGGATTTTCACAATGTCCTCATTATACCATTTCTTTCTGAAACAGTTTTCAGTGTCTTTTATCAGAATCACGTTAAATTTTTTCCCAAAGTACCAATTTAAGTCACAGAAAAATTCAGAGGAGCTCAGATCAAGGACCTTGCTGTGTATTGTGATCCTCCTAAACAATGTGTCCAATTTAGTGCAGTCTTTCATCTCCTTGTCAGATGCAGAAGAAAATTGCTGAGGCAGCATGAGAAGCTATATGTTGGTTAGACATGTTTTAAGCTTAATTAAGTGTAATTGACATATAATGAATGGTGCATGTTTAAAGTGTACAATTTAAAAAATTTTAAGGTATTCGTACATCCATGAAAGCATCACTACAAGATAGTGAATGTGTGGTGGCTCACGCCTATAATCCTAGCACTCTGGAGGCCGAGGCCGGAGGATCGCTCAAAGTCAGGAGTTCAAGACCAGCCTGAGCAAGAACAAGACCTCGCCTCTACTAAAAATAGAAAGAAATTATCTGGACAACTAAAAAAAAAAAAATACACACACACACACACACGTATATAAAATTAGCCGGGCATGGTGGCGCATGCCTATAGTCCTAGCTACTTGGGAGGCTGAGGTAGAATGATTGCTTGAGCCTAGGAATTTGAAGTTTCTGTGAGCTAGGCTGATGCCATGGCACTCTAGCCTGGGCACAGAGCCAGACTTGTCTCAAAAAAAAGATAGTGAATGTACTCAGCACTCCCAGAAGTGTCCTAGTGCTCATGGGTAAGCCCTCTGTTTGGCTCTTTCTGGATTTGCCCCACCCTTTCAGGCAACCATTTACTTTCAGACACTATAGATTAGTTTGCATTTTCTAAAATTTTATATAAATTGAATCATACAGTATTTACTCTTATTATCTGGTGTCTGCCACTCTGCATAATTATTTTAAGATTCATTTATTTTCTTGTGTCAATAGTTCATTGCTTTTTATTGATTGATAACTAGTATTTTATTATCCGCATACACCATAGTTTATTTATCTATTCACCTGTTAGGTATTTTGATTCTTTCTCGATTTGGGCCCATGACAATAAAACTGCTATGAATAATCAGTCTCAGTCACATTTTTGTGTAGATGTGCACTCCCATTTCTTTTGGGTCAGTGCCTAGAAGTAGAAGGCTGGTGGTTGTGCATTTTACATTCTCACCATTTGTGATGCAAGTCCCAGGTCCTCTGCATCCTCTCCTATAGTTGGTATTATCTGTTTTTTAAATTGTAACTATCCTAATAGATATGTGGAAGAATCTTATTATAGTTTCAATTTATATTTCCCTAATGAATGACATGTTGATCATCTTTCTATGTGTTTATTTGCCATCAGTATATCTTTTTAGGAATAGTGTCTGTTTAAACTTTTGCCTATGTTTAAAAAAAAACATATTTTATATATATATATATGTGTGTGTGTGTGTTTTTTTACTGTGTTTGTGCTCTTACTGAGTTTTGAGAGTTGTTTATATACGCTAGATGCAAGTTGTTCCTTCTCAGATTTATCGTTTGTTTGTTTTTTCCATTCTACGGCATGTTTTTTCATTCTTTTAAGTGTCTTTCAAAGATTAGAAGTTTTAAATTTTGATGAAATTCATTTTACCAGTTTTTTCTTTTATGGATTGTGCTTTTGTGTCATATCTAAGAAATCTTTGCCTAACCCATGGTCACAAATGTCTTCTCCTGTATTTTCTTCCAGAATAAATTTTAAGTTTTACATTTAGATATCTAGTCCATTTTGAGTTAATTTTAGCATAAGTATGCAGTGCGAATCAAAGTTAACATTTTTGTATGTGAAAATTTCGTTATTTTAGCATCACTTATTGTGAAGACCATTCTTTCTCCACCAAGTTTTGTTGGCATCTTTAATGAAAATCTCCAGTAGGCCTTATGTGAGGGGGTCTATTTCTGGGCTCTGTATGTTGTTCCATTGCTCTATTTGTCTGTCCTTATACTGAGACCTTATATATCCATGATTACTATGGTTTTATAAAAATTCCTAAAATTACACAGTTTAAGTCTTCCAACTGTGCTTTCTTTTGTCATTTTTTTACCCTGATATCAAGAATCAGTCCAAACTGCTTTTCATTTTAGAAATTGTTTTGACTATTTTAGCTTCTTTGCATTTTAATATATATTTTAAAATCAGTTTGTCAATTGTTACAAAAATTCCTGCTGTGATTTTGATTGGTATTTTATTGAGGCTCTAGATCAATTTGGTGAGAATTGACATCTTAACAATATTTTATAGTTCAGTCAATTAAAATGGTATATCTCCCCATTTATTTAGATCCTTAAAAAATTTTTCAGTGTTGTTTTATTGCTTTCAGTGAATATATATTGCATATATTTTGTCAAAATTATCCCAAAATATGTTATTTTTGATGTTACTATAAAATAGTATTTACACTTTTCCTATTTTTGTTAGTCTTTAGCAATACAGTTGATTTTGTATATTGACTTCATATTAGTTCTAGTAGTGTTTTTTTGTAGATTCCTTAAGATTTTCTACATGCATGATCATGTTGTCTATGGATAAAGATAGTTTTATATTGTCTTTTCACATTGTATGTCTTTTATTTATTTTTCTTTCTTTATTGTAGTTTCTAGGACTTCCAGTACTATGTTGATAGAAATGTTGAGAGTGGGCCAGGCACGTAATCCTAGCTACCTGGGAGGCCGAGGCGGGAGGATTGCTTGAGCTCAGGAGTTCGAGACCAGCCTGAGCATGAGTGAGACCCTGTCTCTACTATAAATAGAAAGAAATTAGCTCAACAACTAAAAATAGAAAAAATTAGCCGGGCACAGTGGCACGTGCCTGTAGTCCTAGCTACCTGGGAGGCTGAGGCAGGAGGATTGCTTGAGCCCAGGAGTTTGAGGTTGCTGTGAGGTAGGCTGAGGCTGTGGCACTGTAGCCCAGGCAAGAGAGTGAGACTCTATCTCAAAAAAATGAAATGTTGAGAGTGGACATCCTTGCCTTGTTTCCAGTCTTAGGGGGAAAGCATTCATTTTTTTCATTTTTCAATTGTGATCTTAGCTACAGGTTTTTCATAGATGTCCTTTATCAGGTTGCAGAAGTTCCCTTGTTTGTTTGTTTTTTTCCCCGAGAGACGGAGTCCTGCTCTGTTGCCCATGCTAGAGTACAGTGGGATCATAGCTCACTGTAACCTCAAACTCCTGGGTGCAAGTGATCCTCTGCCTGAGCCCCCTGAGTGGCTAGGACTGCAGGTGTGTGCCATTAAGCCCAGCTAATTTTTAAATTTTTTGTGGAGATGGGGTTTTGCTATATTGCCTAGGTTGGTATTGAACTCCTGTCCTGAAGCAATCTTCCTCCCTCAGCCTCCCAAAGTGCTGGGATTATGGGCATGAGCCACCACACACCTAGCCTCCTCTTTTTTCTTTAATTTTCCTGAAAGTTTTTATCATGCTTTTTGTCAAATGATTTTTTTGACCTAATAAAATGATCATATAATTTTTCTTTTGTTGTTTTTTCAAAATAGTAAATTATATTAATTGAGTTTCCTCCTAATTTTTTGGTGTGTTAAAATACATATAACATAAAATTCAGCATTTTAACCATATTTAAGTGTACAGTTCAGTGGTATTAAATACATTCTTTTTTTTTTTTCAGAATATCATGGGGGTGCACAGTTTTGGTTACATAATTTGCTTTTGTACAGTTTGAGTCAAATTTATAAGTGTGTCCTTCACCCAGATAATATGCATTGTACCTCTCAGGTATGAATTTACCCATCCCTTTCTCCCCCCCTTCCACCTACTTGATTTCTGTTGAGTGGTATAAATACATTAAATACATTCTTAATGTTGTGCAGCTAGCACCACCATCCATCTCCAGAACTCTTTTCATCTTGTAAACTGAAACTCTACCCATAAATGCTAATTCCCCATTTCTCTCTCCTCTCAGCTCCTGGCAACCACCAGTCTGCTTTCTGTCTCTGTGATTTTGACTAAGTACCTCATACAGTACCTCATAAGTACCTCATATAAGTGGAATCATACAGTATTTGTTTTTTCGTGACTGGCTTACTAACATAATGTCCTCAAGGTTCATCTAGCATATACCAGAATTTCTTTCCTTTTTAAGGCTGAATAATATTCTATTGTATTAATATGAATACATTTTGATTATTCATTCTTCTGTTGATGGACACTTGGGGTGGTTCCACATTGTAGCGATTGTGAACAATGCTGCTGTGAACATGAGTGTACAAATATCTCTTCAAGATTGTACTTTCAATTCTTTGGGGCACACACCCATAAGTGGAATTACTAGATCATATGGTAATGTTTTGAGGAACCACTACACTGTTTTCCACAGTACATTTCTACCAACAGTATACAAGGGTTCCGATTTCTCCACATCCTCACCAACACTTGTTATTTTCTGGCTCTTTGATACTAGCCATCCTAATGGGTAGGAGATGATACCTTGTTTTGATTTGCATTTCCCTAATGATTAGTAATGCTAAGCTCTTTTTATGGGCTTATTGGCCACTTGTATATCTTCTTTGGAGAATTATCTATTCAAATCCTTTGCCCATTTTGGAATTGGGTTGCTTGATTTTTTTTTTTTTTGTTGTTGTTGTTGAGCTTTAGGAATTCTCTGTGTACTTTGGATATTAATCTCTTTTCAGATACATTATTTGCAAATATTTTCCCCCACTCTGTAGGTTGCCTTTTTACTCTGTTGATAGTGTCTTTTGATTTACAAAATTTTAAAATTTTCA